CATAAGTGTTATGGGCTGCAAATAAAGCCCGTGGATTTATGACTTGAGGAGCTTGCCAGCAAAGGACTGGGGCACATGTCTTTCAGCAGGGCCCTGTCGGGGCGCAAGCACGCCTTTGGTTGTAAAATTAACCATTTCCTTCACAAATGTGCTCAATTATAAATTATAAATCCAAGCTGAAGATTTACTTACAAGGTTGCCAATTTCTACTCCCTAAAGAAACTCAGATACCCACCACACACACACACACACACACACACACACACACACACACACACACACCAAAACCGTAGAAAATCTTGGTCAGCTCTCCTTTTCAAAACGTTGAAATGAGTCGGCAAAGCTATAAAAGTAGCCAAAGATATCATCAAATTCCACTCCCACCAAGACTAAAAATCTAGCTAGCACCTACTTCCTTGGAAGCTTATTTATTTGGCAACGCCGAGATTTTTTTTTTTTAAGGGAGTAAATCATTCCCTGCCTAGTCTCCTCCCTGCCCCCAGTCCAATGTCATCTACTTCCTGTGCAGGAGAAAGCATCTGCTAAACCCAGGTTGTCCCATACTTAACTGCCAATAAACCAACTTCCACATAACTTCCAGACAGCTGGGGGAAAGGTCCTCGGGAGTTTTTAGTCATGGTCCTAAACACGAGTCCACACAAAAAATTTGCAGCTGTCCTTTCTCTACAGTGCATTGTTAACGTGATTCGGGAGCCCCCCGTTGTGTGACATCCGAAAAAAAAAACGCAAAATCCTTCCTCTCCTCTCCCCTCTGTGCACGGGAGAGAGCAGGCCAGGACTTCTTGGATGGATGGTCTCTGAAGACACTTTCCCTATGCACCTGGGCACCTTGTGAGACGGGAGAAGGTGCTCAGATCTTGAAAAGACTTCTACCCTAATCTGGAAAAGCATAGCCTCTGGTATAATCATTAAATGCCCCCCCTTTAAATGGCATGCAGAATTGCAGCCACCCCGTGCCACTAACAGAGAAGGCAGCAGCGTTCTAGATGTCACTCTGGGAAACCTGCCTGTAACTTTTTCATAGCTGGCTACGGAACAGAAAGCTAGCCAACAGCCAGCAGCAACTCCAAAGGCAATCTCTCTCAGGAAACAGAAAATTCAGGCGGAGAACTCCAAGCAAGAAACAGCATGGTTAGTCTCCAGATCTTTTCAACATCTAAGATAAAGGACAGCAGTCAATGCTGGCGCCCCCTAAATGGTAGCAAAGATCTCCCCAAAATGGTTTTCCTGGAGAAGCCTTTCAGACTCCCAAACCCCACATTTGTTTCTGGGGTTTCAGGAAGCCAAACTGCAAAGCATTAACATACTAGATTTATAATCATATGCTTACTGAGTGAACGCTGAGCCCAGACGTTAAACCCTAACTTACAAGATTAGCATAGAAGACTTGCTGCGTTGAGATTAAAATCTAAACATGTCTGCCATAAATATTTCTGAAGGAGATGAAAACAATTAGCATAAATACGAAAGGAGGCTGAGAGCACCTGTTCTTTTTCAAGGCGATAAGCATTTTATTGTTCTCTATTTAAAATGTAATGACCTGTGTAATCACAGTAATATTACATTGTTATGGAGGGGCTTGGAATGTCACACTTTGAAAAGTGTTGTCAAAACAATCAGGGGTGAAGGTGGGGGGTGGGAAGACAACAGGGAAGGTCCAACATTAACCCCTCACACTCCAGGGTCTCAATCTTTTGTGTCAGGAAGGATTATGTTGTTTGAGAAAGTCGAAAACATCCATTTTTCGGCAAGCCGGGGGAAAAAAATTGCCGGGCTAAATAAAACCTCCTCAATGAACAGGCTCCCTCCCGATTTCCTTGAAATGCTCCAAAATGAATTCAAGATGCTGTTACTTATCTGCTCAACCTAGTAGCAAACAGTTGTGCTGAAAAGCCAATGCTTTGGGTAGATGAAGCGCTGTGAGAATACCCTGAAAATGCCACCTCACGCCTGTCGCAGTCCCCAGCACTGCAGGACCATTTCTTGCAAGCCAGGCGGAAAAACAGAAAAGTTAAACTTCCCCTACCAATGGACCTCAATCCTGTAACAGTATTCTCCAGAACACAATGGTACCCGAATTAGAATATTGGCACTTCCAGCCCTTCCCTTGTACTTAAATAGAGTTCTCCTTAATGTATGTTTCTGTCTGAATGTATCCTCTTCATAAGCCATTTCTACTGCTGTATCAAAGATTAAATTAACGTTCTGAGGAAATCTTTGTCGTTTTAAAGTAAAATCATTACTACCAGGCTTTACAGCTTCTTTGGTAATTAAAAGATTGTTCTAGAGATGATCTATTATTCATCAAAAGCCAATCTAATGATACTCCTTAATTCTTCACATTCTTAAACAGAAAAGCAGAAACCGGGGTTCCAGAGAATCTGTTTTTTAAAGGATTCGGCCCTTTGGCCGGTACTTGCTCACAAGTTACAGAAAATGTACCAAATAGAGCCCTGGCCAGGAGGAAGGAGAATGAATGAGCTTATCCTGAATTGGTGCTTACAACTCGTACACAAAACCAGACCCTAGGAAACCCTGAGAATTTCAGACCCGGGACCACTGGCTGGCCTGTGTGTTACACCCGGGGCTGTATCGAATCTGGAATTGCAAGCTGGCCCAAGCATTCAAAGGCACTAGAGGGACATACAACCGCCTTGCAGCTCCTTGCCAACGCTCTGCTCAGCAGCCTAAATAAATAACTTCAATTTTGTAGCATCCACGTAAGGGAAAGCAAAGAAGCAGAGGCAGTGTGCACAAAGATGTCTGATGTCTGACACGCAAATACTAACAGCCTACTGGGTTCAGAAATGCCTTCTCAGAGTCAATCTGATGTCACAGCACAGGGCCACCCGCTATGTCCACAATTAAAATAACTAGATGCTGTCTATTCCTACAAAGCCCACAAAGGGGGCCGTGGGTTGGGAGCCTTCCTTGTCTCCCCGGGAAATCATTTATTTGCCTTTAACAATTTCCCTGTTTCCTAATTACAGCACAACACAACTGTGTGGGTTTGAAGCGATGGTGTGGCCAGATCGCCAGCGGTCACGGACGTGCAGTTTGAAAAGGGTCAAGAAAGCCAACAAGTCTGCCATCAAAGCTCAATATTCTGATGGCCTTTCGGGTGGCTAAGTGGATTTTAAAATAAAACCAAGGAGGTCTGCGTCCTAAGGAGAAGAGGAGGAGGGGGAGGAGAAAATTCCCAGGATTACTTTGGAATGTTGTGGGTCTCGTTTGCTAACACTCTGATTCTTTAAGATCCCGTCAGCTACCAAGAAAAATACCAGGCGCTGCTTCCGAGGCCGCCCGAGCAGCCTCCGGAAAGCGCGGGCCCTGCTGGGCGAGGTCAAGCTGTACCTCTGTCCCGGCTTCCAAGGAAGGCACGGGCGCTGGGGGGGGGGGCTGGGGGCGGTGATTGTTTCTCTTTCCTGGGCACTAAAAAAAATTACCGGTCTAGCGTGCTCTTGCTATTCTGCCAGAGCCAAAGGGAAAAGAAAAAAAAAAAAAAGCAGAAAAAAAAAAAACAAGTTAAACTTGATAGTTAATATTTTAATGCTTAAAAACACTTGTAGATTGGCTGACTCCAATCCCAGCTCTGCTCAATAGTGAGCACATTATTCCAGACTGCCACCTTGAATGAGCGAAAGAGGAAAAACAAAAGTAGTGTGTGTAAACACGAGGTAGGGACCACGGCCAGAGGTGCAAAGTGACAACCCCGGGAAGACAGGCACAAACCGGGCTAATGTGTCTAGAGCTCCGCAATCCAGGTTTTTCTTTTTTCTTTTCTTTCTCTTTTTTTTTTTTTTCGGGGGTGGGGGAGCAGAGGACAGTGTGAGGGCAGGGGGCAGAGGCCCCGGGAGAACAGGAACAAATGTCTACGGTGGGTGCCGGAGGTACGCCGCCGAGAGCTCCCGAGGAGCATGGCACCCCGCGCTGCCCTCGGCCCCTCAAAGTTGGGAAGCCGATTCCCCAGACAGGAAGGCATCCCCAAGTCTCATACACCTCCTTGAAAGCGCTCACCCTGTCCTCTGCCCCCTTCCCAGGGGCCCACGGTGAGCTAGCTGGTCAGGGAAAAGAAGGCCTCTACACCCCATCCGAAGATACCGAGTTTCCCTTGGCACAAAAGTCCACTCAAAACAGGCCATTCTGACTACACACAAACCCAGAAGCCCTTCAAATCGGCCTTCCCAACACGCACAGCTCGCAGCTAGGTAGCGTGGGGCAGCCAAGCCCTGCCGGGTCTGCAGAGAAAAGCACGCCCAGGAACCCCGGGCCTGCAAGGGGACCAAGCCTGGCAAGTGTGACCTTCCCGTGGAAGAAGGGGCCAGGAGGCCCGCGAGCCTGCAATCACCACTAGAAAGCTACAAAAACGACCGGCTGGGGACAGCGCCGGGCGCTTCCGCAGGGTCAAGGCTGCGCGCACAGCATAGCAGCGCCTGGAGCCAAAGGCACCGGGAATCCGCGCAGCGCGGCCCGGGACCGGCCTCCCAGCCAGCAACCAAGGGGTTAACCTGGGGAAAGCCTAAGACGCACAGAAGAGGGAAGGAAGAGAGGGAGAAGAAAGAGCCACACAGTCCTCTTCCCAGGGACAAGAAACAAACACCACTAAGCAAGGGGAGGGGGAGGGGGAATCAGAGCTTAAAATAAAGAGAGAAAAGAAAGGAGTAGGAAAAAGAAAAACAAAAGGGAAAAAGGAGAAAGAAAAACTAAAAGTTTAGATTGGCATCCCACCACCCCAACAGAGCCCTGCCTGGGAAAGAAAAGGCTCCCCGAATCGCGAGACAAGCACAAGGAAAGCCAGAACATGGCGAAGCGCAAACAAACCCAGTCCACAAAAGGCAGAGAAAAAGTTTGGAGAGTTCGGGCCGCGAGGGGGGGGAGGGGAGGGGGGAGGGGCGGGGCGGGGGAGGGGCAGGGCATGCGGGGCCGGCAGGCGGGCGGGCGAGCAGGGCGGGCAGGGCGGGGAGCGCGGTGGCACTTACGGTTCGGGCGGTGGGCGAGAGCGATCCGTTGGGGAGGTAGGGGCTCGTCAGGTCGGGGATCATGATGAAGGGGTAGCCGGGATACGGTGGCCCCTTAAAGAGCCCTCCATCTTGCCTCTTGGCCGCTAACATGGCGGGGCGGCGGAGGGGACGGCGGCGGCCGCGCGGCGCGGGAGAGAGCGGGAGAAACTTTTTAGCAAGTGTCCCCGCGGAGGGCCCGCGCGCGTCCCCGGGGCCCAGCCGGCGCGGGAACTCGGGTAGGGTGGGTAGGGAGTGGGGCGAGGGTACCCACCAGGCCGACCCCGGGGAGGGGGGCAACGCGATCGCGCGGTTTGGGGGCGCGCGGGGCACACTCACCTTCTTCCAAACTTTCCCGGGATTTATCTCGGAAACTTTCGGAGCGAGGCGGAGGCCGTCTTTCCGCCTTCCCGGAGGGGCGAAGTGGGGAGGGCGAGGGGCAATCGCCGCGCCGAGGGGGTGCGGAGGAGGGAGGGTCGGCGGGGAAAGGGGTGCAGAAAAAACACGGTTACAAGTTTTTGCAGTCAGCAGCCCCGGCAACCGTCCGTGCCGCCCGCCGCCCGCAACCCCGGCCCGCCTCGCCTTCCAGCCCCAGTCTCCGAGCCCGGGAACCGGCAGGAACAACCTCGCCAGCCCGAGGGGCTCTTCCTACCTCGGAATCGGAGGAGCTGTTTTGATTCGTCTCTGATTCATTGACCAGCGACGACTTGACATCGGCTAAATCCCTCTCCGCCGAGGAGTTTTCCGAGTTCTTCTCCTCCTGCTCGCCCTCGTCTTTGAAGGAGATCAGTTCGTCGTTAGCGCCTAGGTCATCTCCTCCACCGCCGTTCAGCTGCGGCATTTTTTTTCACCCACCAGCAGCAATTTTGGAAGAAAAATGAAGGAGGAAGAAAAGCAAAAAAAAAAAAAAGTTTTGCGAGCCCCCCAAAAAATATTGCAAGAAAAAGACGAGTCCAAGGTTAACTTTTTTTTCCTTCTTTGGGGTCTTTCTCTCCTGGGGAGGGGAAAAGAGGGAGGAGGGGAGGGGAAGGGGGAGATCTTCTGCACGCGTGAGTTTGGATTTCTTTTTTCTCTCGTTCCCAAGGATCCGATCAATGTGCAAAAAAATAATAAATAAAAAACGGGGGTTAAAAAAAAAACAACAACAACAAGTCAGATATAAGAGCAAAGGGGGGGGAAGCCGAAGACACCGAAGGAGCTCGTGCCGCTCGGATTTGAGTGAGTTGAAGTTAGACTGAGCTTTTCAGTTCAAAGGCGGCGCTGATTGACAGATAGAAAAAGGGGGATCGAAATCCGGAGGAACGGAGTAGTCTGGGAGCGGAGATTATTGACAGGGCGAGAGGAACACACTCGCCTTAATGAGATGCCAGGGGGCGGGGCGAGCCCGGTGACGTGTGCATAAATAAACAGCCGGGGTGGGCGGGGCGGGGGCGGCCAACAATGATCCTTTGGGCGCCGGGAGAGCGAGAGGGGCGGGCCGGGCCGCGGGAGGCGAGCGGGGTGCGGCCTGTGCGCCCTGCGCGAGCTGGGCGCCCAGACGGTGCGGGCCCCGCTCCTGGAGGGGGCGGGTTCCGAAAGACAATGCGGACCGGGAGAGGAGGGGAAGGGGGTGGCAACCGAGTCCGGAATCTGAGCCGGGGAAGGCGGAAGGAAAGCCCACTTGGGGGGCGGGGATGGGGAGAGGCCCAGAAAAAGTATTAGCCAGAAGTCTCGAGGATGGGGACCAATAGGGGAGGACTGTAGGACGTGGGGACAGGGTGCTCAATGGTTAATCCCGCAGAGAAGTCGGACGCCCTGGGGCGGGATAAGACACAACTGGTCCAAAAAGCTCACCCCTCTGCTCTGAGAAAACCTGGGGACGCTGAGGGGCTGGGCCACGAACATTCAAGGAGGCTAACCCACAAGGGCTCCCCTCCCTTTTTCTTTAATGACAGTGAGTCACGTCATTAAATGTAAAGACCCATTCGGCTAAATATGCCAAGAAGGCGTTTTATCCAAAAAAACAAATACTTAAAGTTTGTCTGGGGTACTAAAAATATCCTTAAGGGAAATGTAAAGTTGTTGGTTTTGGGTTTTCTTCTTTTTTTTTTTTTTTAAACTGACGTTGGAAGTAGGAAGTGATGTAGGATCCAAAGTCCGTTCTGACTTTGGAGGTGAAAAGTTTGGGCGTTAACAGCGCCAGGGAAAATAAAAGTGAAAGTTCACCAAGCCCTGGGATGAGTGGGACTGCAGTTTTTCTCCAAGGGGGTCCGAGAGGAAATGCCCAGGAGCTGAGACAGTCACCAGAGCTGGCCTAGAAGCCCTTGGGGGGGGGGGGTCAGAATTCTGAGACAGGTATCTGTTTTTTATTAGGCTTGGGGAGGGCAAACTGATTTGCTATGAAATGGGGAAGAAAGTGATGTTAAAGGAGAAAGGCGGATTCCCAAACAGTGTTCCTGGATGGTAGAGTGAGAAGGTCCTTTTCCTTGTAAGTATACAGTGAGAAGAGAACTGGGAATTCCAAGGTGAAAGAGACGCCCCCATCCAACCCACCCCCAAAGAAAGAAAGAATAGGAATTGTCAATTTACTATTAGGTGTGATGTTACTCCGGGGTCCACAAAGCATTAAATTAGCCCACCCTCCCCCCCCTTTAAAAAGCGCATATGTTGTAGATTTCCAAAAGTAACCAATTTGCCGTGTAATATTTAGAGAGTTTGGGGTTTCAACAAAACTGTTCTACAGGCTCAGGCCTCAGAAAGAAGACACCTGAAAATAATGATACTGAGATTGACAAGGCCGGCGAATTCCCCTGCACCGAAAAGAAAAAAAATCCCAGGCACATTAGCACACTAAAGCGGAAGATGCAGGCAAAATAAGGATGGGATGGGGGAGGCAGACAGTGAGATCACTATCCCACCAGCTCCCAACCTCCATATTCATCACAAAACCAGAAGTGGAGGGAGAAAGAACCCGGAAAAAAAATAATAAAACAAGACAAATGTGTACGTTTCATTGGGCGGATTGCGTGGGACGAAGAGTGGAGGCTAATTAGTCTCAGCAGGTAGGACTAACCTTCAGACTTCTAACTAAATAAGACAGACGCGGGCGCAGTCTAACAGGAGAGTGGAGACAGAAAGGGGAATATTTCAAGACACCAAGTACAGACGCTAAGCATGAAGCGCAGCCCTGTCTTGAGTCCATGTACAGATGGCTGATGCCCTTTCTGGGTCTTTCCTCTGGATACCTTTAGAGTCCACATCCAGCCAATACAGCTGCAGCTTTCCCCACTTGCTAACTGTATACAACGTGAACCGTATAGACTATGCCAAGTCTATTTGGAGCTTGTTGACATAAATGGGACACTTCTACAGTGAGTCTGCGTTTAATGAACAAGTCTGTCCTGTAGGATGGGTTCTTTTTGGATTTTAATCTAACCCTGGTCTGAATCAGGTTGATTCAGGAGGTCTTCTGTGTTCCTTAGGGGGTTGATTGTACAATAAAAGCTTATGAATATACTTGAAGTTGTTAAAGTGTCATTGTTTTTAACATACTGCATTTTTGTCATGCGTCAACACTAAGGACTTTCTCCAGTGACCAATACCATCATCTAGTTTGGCACAGCCTTATTTTTCTCAATCATAGGAAACCTTTGAATCGTCCCTTCAATCTCCAACTTAATTAAGCAATTAAAAGTTATTCCATAACAAGTCTTGTGCCACATTTAATCTCATTGCATGGTGCTATAAAAAGACTTGGGGGAGAGAAAGCCTCAAGGTCTTGATTGACCTCCAGTCCCTGTGGCTGCTTATAGTGGTTCACAGAAAGGTGGCAGTGGGGGGGGGGGATCAGGGCAAGGCTTGGCACTGGCCGGCAGCAAGGTAAAACAATACTCAAAAAGGAAAAGCCAGGTTGGCCCATCACGTGGACCTGTAGTTTATAGATTTGACAAGGACTCTTTAGACTCCAGCTAGTTCATGTCCAAGCACTGAAGCACCATCTCTCTAAGCCCTGATGATTCTTGGCTTAAATGACCGAATTCTGACCAAATGGCAAAGATAACAAAAATGCAAGAGGGACATCAAACTGGTTCTAATGGTCGCTTGAGCCTTGCATGGCGTTTGGACATCCTGGTCCTTGCATGTGGGAGTAGGCAGAATGGATGAAGATGTTCTTAGCATTTGGTGCCTCTTCCTGGGCCAGCCCAGGTCCCCAAGTGCCAGGCTGTCCCACATCCACCCTTTGTCCTCTTTACTCCATGTCTATCTTCTTGGTCTTGCCTAGGCCTTCCTTTCATTGGCTCTCTCTTTGTGGTTTTAAAATTTTTAATCTGTATATTGCCTTAAAACCTGAGTACTGAACTAGCCCTACGAGACTCAAGTCTGCAAACCTAGCGCTCAGGAGGCAGAAGCCTGGTCTACAGTGACATAAGAGCTAGGTTTGTGTATGAAGAGCCTCACTTATGAAGTGTGTTACATAAATAAATACGCCTTAAAAGACCAGGTTGCCAAGGAGAGTAGGGTGTGATTTCTAACCATGGGAGTGAGATGGTGGCTGTTGTTTACACCAGTCATCCTCTGGGCACTGGGGGGAGGAAGGGAGTGAGCACTGGAATAATAGATTGACCTTAAGCCAAGCCATGTCACCTGTGGCCTCTTTGTCCTGCATCACCTTGGGGATGAGGTATAGATATTTTCTGTTACATTTTTTATGTTCAAAAGAGCCCATGAGTCTATCATTTTCTCCCAGACTACAGCCATTACCAAAATTTTCTCAGCACCCCAGCAAAGAGAAGCCATAGTAAGATGCTGGCTTTGTGATACTGGGGTTACCAGGGTGGTTGGCTTGTATCATCTAGAAGCAGGGGTTTCAAGATGAAGGCAACCCTCAGCTCCTCCAATCACTAGACAAGACTCTATTCAAGGACCTTTGACATCAGCCTATGCATGCATGAGACCGCATGTGTGTGAATGCATGTGTATTTGTGTGTGTGTTTGTGCGCGCATATATATGTGTGTGTTTCTGTTCTTGTTCGATTTCCCCTTGCAGATCTAGCTGTAAGATGGGTGATCTGTCACCCACTGTGTTGGGCTTATCTTGGCAGGGAGTGTGCTGACTGAGGGAAGAAAAAAAAAAGCATTTAGAAGTACAAGGAAGCTATAAAGGTGAGCGGGGGAGGGGTTGTTTAGAAGCCAAAGTCCTGATTCCACTGAGAGATCTTTTTGTTTGCTTTTGTCCCATGTGGGTGATGAGCATTCATCTGGAAGTTCAGGAAAGGAAGGCTCCTCCCTTAGCCAACATAGGAGCAGACATCTGGGCTGGGGTGTAGCTCAGTTGGTAGAGTGCTTGCCTAGCGTGCAAGAGACCTGGGTTCAACTCCCAGCGCTGCATCAGCGAGGAGTGGTGACACCTGCCTGTAACCCTAACATCAGGAAGGAGAAGGCAGGTCAGAAGTTCAAGGTCATCTTCTGCTAAATAGTGAGTTTAAATCAGTGGCCTTACCTACGATTAGATAGACAGATACATACATACATGCATACGTGCATACAGGCAGACATAGATGATAGACTAGATTAGCCAAGCCTGACAACCTGAGTTCAGATTCCAGAGTTTAAATCAGTGTGAGAGATACAGGAAACCTTACCTAAGATTAGATAGATAGACAGCTACATACATACATGCATACAGACAGACAGACATAGATGATAGACTAGATTAGCCAAGCCTGACAACCCAAGTTCAGATTCCAGAGCCTACATGGTAAATTGAGAAAACCAACTCCTGTGAGTTGCCCATGCTCTCCCCTGAGTTCTACCAACTTCCAGAGCAATTGATGTCCATCCAGGTAATAAAGGGACAATGGTGCCCCATGTCCCAGAGACCAGTGGGAAGTGTATATATACACTTGTTAAATACTGTGTCCCCCACACTTGTAAACTGATCATGCCTGCTATAGGTATCTGTGACGAGAGCAGCTGCCAGAAGACATCGGTCCTCTCTAAAGAGACCCCTTTTATCAACAGGATGCCTTTTAACCCTAATAGCATTAGAAGAAGGCCAATAAATGAAATACTTACTGCACAACTTGCTTTATTTTGGGGTGGCGTATGATTCCTTTCTTGCCATCGCTAGCAGACGTTTGTTCACTAATTTGCTCCCTAGAAATCTCACTTGCTACAGTTACACGGCCGTGACGTTTCATCGCCCGGAGCCAAGTCTGCATAAGAGCTTCCTTAAGATATACTTACCCTAATGCCAGGCTACAGGAGCCAGGCTGCTTTTGTGCTTGCCTAGTATACAGGGCAGAGCCTTCCTTGCAGTCATTGCCATAGGGTAGGTCTAAATGTTTCTGAGCAGCAAAAAAAAAAAGATGGGGAAAAGGTGAAAAAGTTCCATGTAAGTTGATCTTGCGGATGGCTTCAGAATGAATAATCGCTTGTGTCTTTAACATGTGAAAATGCCAATGTTTTCTTTCCATTTTCTTTGTATGAGTTGGGTGTGTGTTTGTGTCAGTGCAGGGATGTGTATGTGGGAGCCAAAGGTCAACCTTAAGGGTCATTCCTCAGGCTCCATCCACCTTGTTTTTTTTTGTTTGTTTGTTTGTTTGTTTGTTTGTTTTTGAGACAGGGTCTCTCATTGATGTATAGCTTGCTGGCTAGGCTGGGCTGGCTTTTGAATAAACTCTAGGGATTCCTGTTCCTCTACTTCCCCTGCACTGGGATAACCAGCATGCATCACTATACCCCAATGTTTATGCAGGTGCTGGGAACCCAGACTCAGGTCCTCGTGTTCGGATGGCAAAGCTTTCCAGATGAAGCCATCATACCCATCTCCCATGCGTTTCCTTTTCCTTTCTTTCCTCTTTAAATAAACAAGTAAATGAATGCTTCAATGATCCCATCTCGTATCACTGAGCATCTTTGCCCGCTCTGACCCAGTGCCATGTTTAAAAGTGTCTTGCAGGGCTGGAGAGATGGCTCAGTGGTTAAGAGCATTGCCTGCTCTTCCAAAGGTCCTGAGTTCAAGTCCCAGCAACCACATGGTGGCTCACAACCATCTGTAATGAGATCTGGTGCCCTCTTCGGGCCTGCAGACATACACGCAGACAGAATATTGTATACATAATAAATAAATAAATAAATATTTTTTTTTTTAAAAAGTGTCTTGCAAACCAAAGCAACTACCACAAAAAAAAAAATGTGGGCACTTTAAATTGAGTCAGACACACCGTCAGGCAGCGTTGAGCAATCTCATAAGGTGGTTTACACGTGTTCAAGGGACAGAGCAGGTGAAATTTCAGAAGACAATGCTATTGTTTCCTTGTAATTTATCTAGGTGTGAGCTGACACACCTGCCTTTGGCCAAGAGCATCATGGGATGGAAGAGGTTCTGGATCAAAAGAGACTCCTAGACTCAGACTGGGAAGGTCCGGGGCTTGAGCCCCGTAGGAATTCATGCACCGTCGAGCCCGTGTGTTCAGAGGAAGGATAAAATCGTGTTGATTTAATCGCTGGAGTGTGGATCAAAATCAACACCTTTCTCTACTGTAAAATCTCGGTTATCTCTGTTCATTGGGGAGGGGGGTGGATCATGTTTCCTAATGAAACATCCTTCTGGCTGGGGGAGAGGAGAGAGTGAAATGAGTTCCCGGTCCGGAGTGACTTTGGATCTCAGTACAGACAGCAGCCTGCAGCACAGGATTCAGCAATGACAGAGCTTGCAGTTGGCTGTCATCTTGAGCAAACTCGGCTTCTTCATAGCCTGAGGGCACACTGTAAATACCCTGAGCAGGCGAGAAAGCATTAATCGTTATTCCTTAAAGGTTCCCAGAGAGCCAGAGACTGAGTGTTTCTAATTGCACACACACACACACACACACACACACACACACATGGCACATACATGACAAAATACTCAATTTACTCTTTTAATTTAAAAGTAAATGATAGGGTCAGTCACGGGGCAAAGCCTACTAGGATGCTCAACACAATGTAACAAAAGAAACAAAGTAACAAATATGTGATGAATTTCCCCAGTACCACTGTACCCACGCTTCCCAAAGGCAAGAATGGGCTGTCCTAGAAGGGGCTTGTCCTCCCACAAGGCCAACAGAGGCAGAGAACAAACACACTCATTCCATTTTACCAGTAAGGAAACAGGTTCCAAGAGACCCAGGTGTCGTGCAGCCGCTGAGTGGCCAGGCCAGGAGTTGAACTCCAGTTTCCTGGCCCTGAGCCGAGCCCTGCTTTGTTCCTGGAACCCGGTCAAGTCAACAACAGAATCGTCCTCAGGATTTTTCTGATACTGGAGAGATGGCTCAATGATTAAGAGCATGGGCTGCTCTTGCTGACGACCCAGGATTAGTGTCCAGCACCCAGGTGATGGCTCTCAGTTGTCTGTAACTTCAGTTTCGGTAGAGCTGATGCCCTCTTCTGGCCTCTGCAGGCACTGGGCACAAGCATGGCACACAAACAAATGTTTCCAAAACACTCATACACAGCAAACACATTTTTAAAATAAAAATAAATAAAGAGGATCTCAACAAAAAGAGAAATCTATTCTTTCAAAGGCATTTGCGCCTCCCTTTATCCTTTTTCCTGAGGTGCCCAGAGTTCTCTCCCCAGCAAATCCCTGTTTCACCCCATAATATCGTTGTGTACTAGACACTGAAGTTTCTCTGCCTTGCCAGCCTTGGAAACTTCAGGGATGGACGGAGTCGGTGGGGAAGTGGGCTGTCCTTCTCTGCACCTGCTGAGACTGACCGGTATTTAAAACCCCTACCACAGTGGTCAGTAGTAACTCCCTTTGGTGGTCAGGAGACATGCAGAGCTTGGGATGTCAATCACTGAGAGGAGTGCTTGCCCACATGCATGAGGCCCTGGGTTGCATTTCCAGCCCCACACAAGCAGACCATGGTGACACATTTTACAATCAGAGGATCAGGAGTTCAAGGACAACCTCAGCTACAGCGAAAGGTTGGGGCCAGCCTGGGCTATGAGAGATCCTGTCTCAATAAATAAACAAACAAAACTCCTGCAGAGGTTGGAGGTGGCTTTCCCCTCTGTGGGAAACAGCTGCTCTGCCCAGAAGTTTCTGGGGAAATGTGAGCTCTTTGGCCTCTGGTTAGCTCATCTCCCCCTGTCATGCTCCCACCTTCCTTTTTACCAGTGTTCTTCCAGGCTGGGGGCCTTGGCAGAGATTGCCACCTGCCTTTGAGACCTTTTTGGGGGCCCTCTGGTATCAGGCGAGGCAGTTAGTGGACAACAGCCTGGTATATGGTTCAAGTTCCAGTCAGGGTCTGGGGAAGCCCTAGCTGCCTCAGACCTGCTATGTAGCAAAGGCTGGCCTTGAATCCTGATCCCCCTTCCCTCTGCCTCCCAGCTGTTGGTATGGCACCCCCAACACCACCACACTCAACTTACTAAATCTGGAAGGGGCTCTCCAGCCCTCCTTCCCCATTGGTTGGGAGTGGAGGGCAGTAGCAGAATGGTCTGTCTGGGAGGGTTTGGGGTTGGTTTTTTTTTTTTTTTTTTTTTTTCCTTCAACAAGACCCCATCACTCATACTGAGAACCCACACTCAGCAGAAGGGGCCTCACCAGCAGGACTGGAAACCTGTGACCTTGGGCCCGCCCATAAATCACCCGACTCCTCCCTTGCCTATAAAGCGAAGGTGCAGTAACTGCGTTGGAGGGTTATCATGACTCAGGGAATGAGCATGTAAAATTAATAGCCTTGATTGCTGTAGACTGTGGCGTTTCCTAGGGCGGTCTCCCTTTCCCTTCCTCGCCTCTCCAGAGGGCATGGAATGCCAGGACTACCCAAGTCCTGGCACCTGGGAGGCCTGCGTTCTCATCCCTGCTCATCCCTTCCTGGTAACTTTGTCCAGGTGCAGCCACTTGATAACAAGAGAACTCTAGCTCGCCCTGAGCTAAACTGTAGACCTCCAAAGACAACAGGCCCTCGCTGCAGGAGCCTGATAGCCTCCCTTTGAAGGGCTGGACTTCAGGAAGGGGGCAGCCCCTCAGAGGGTGTCTCCAGCTAAGTCCCCACCCAGTTAGAGCAGTGGGCAACTTTCCAAAGTCCCCAAGGCTCCCTCTCAATTGGCTAGCCATTGAAGAATGCTCAGCCTTCAGCAAAGACTACCAGCTCTAAGGAGGGAGGCCACTACACTCCCATCCGGCCCCAGCTCTCAAAGGGAGGCCACCAAGGAACACTGGTTCCAGCCACATGGGTGAGAAAGGAGGAAGTCTAGGTCAAAAAAGAAGAAGCCAGCCCAAGTCCAAGTGCTCTGTCCAGGTGGCTCCTGGCTTCTCTGGTCCCAAGGTCTTCAGATCCTGGCTCTTGTGATATTGCTACTCTTAGGAAGAGAGAAAAAAAAAAAAGGAAAAATATGAAACAAGATTCGACCCATATCAAATCTCTAGATTTTTATTTAAATCTGTTTTATGTTGGGTGTGGTAGCATGCACCTGCACTCAGCAGGCTGAATGGCAAGTTCAAAGCCCTGGATGATATAACAAGAAACTGTCTCTAAAACAATAAAACAGAAACGAGAAGCAAACTCAACATATGTAAGACTTACAATTCTTTAAGGCAAGTTGGGACGAGACAGGGTCTCATGTAGACAGACTGAACTGACTCTACACTCACTATGTAGGCAGCAAGGATAACACTAAGCTTCTAATACGCCTTCCTCTGCTTACCCAGGGCTAGTCCACACCTGGTTTTAAGGGATGCTGGGGATAAAACCGGAACACTAGGTAAGCGCTCTACCAACTGCGCCAATCCTCAGCCTTTCACTATTTCTAAATGATCGCTTTTGTTAATGTTTATCTTACACTTATTATATTTTTTTAGTACGACTGCCTGGCATACTTTTTTTTAAACATAATATTTTATTGTTTTTTTTTTTTTTTTTTTGCTACTCTTAGGAAGAGCACATCATGCATCCCAATCCTTCCTCATCCCTCAGACCCCAACATGGACAATATATTTTTAATACTTTTGATTTTAATCTCTTTATGTCTTTACTGTTGTAGGTATTTATGTTTTGAAGGCATTTATTGACAAAATTGGCTTTTTAAAAATTCAGTCTGATAGTCTCTGCCTTTTAACTTGGAGTTTTGATCACTTTTATTTAATGTGAGTATCAGCTGTTTGGGTTTAAGTCTTTCATCTTGCTTGTTTTATTTGTTTTATGTTTTCTTTGTTCCTTTTTCCTTAATTTTCTTCTTCCTTTCAATTATTTGAGCATTTTTATGTTTTTATTTTGTTACCTTTGTTGGCTTGCTAGCTAATAATTCTTTTTGTGTCATTTGATATTGTTTTATGGTTAACTTTATCATTATCAAATAGAACAATCACATCCTTCTATCCATATAAGAACCTCACAGTGATGCATTTCTGTTTCTTCTTACTCAGTCTTTTGTCATTATTATGTAATTTCTAAATTTGATATGGAACCAATTTTATGAGCCCAATGCATTGTTTGTAGTTTAACATAAAATAGTCAAGTATCTCTGAAATATATTTACCCAAGGAAAATCTGGTGATATATTTCTTCTTTGGGTAGTTGTGAATTTACAACTGATATAAACTAATAAAAATTTTCTTCTGTTTTCATATTTCTTGCAGCATTGGCTTTTGAAAGTCTTTGCTTCACTTATAAGCATGAGGCTCTAAGCTGGATCCCCAGAACCCAGGTCAAACAAAAAATAATAGTATATTCATTCTTATAATCCCAGTGCAAGCGAATCGGAGGCAGGCAGAGGCCTGTGTCTCAGTGGCCAGCTAACCTAGCCTGCTTGGTGAACCCCAGGACATGCAGAGACCCTGTCTCAGAAAACAAGGTGGATGATGCCCAAGCAATGGCATTCCAGGTTGTGTTCAAGCACAAAAACGCACATGCAAACACACACATACAGTCCTTGGGGGCAGGGAGGGGCTCAGTTGGTACAGTTATCACAGCACCAGCATCCGCATGGAAGCACCTGTGACCCCAGCATTGGTAAAGGAGAACAGAGGGCACGGAGCTGAAGATGCAAGCCTTTTCCATACCTCCCTCACCCTATACACACACACCTTCTTCCACAGTGGTATATTTACTACACCTGTGACATCTGTCCAGGCAGCCTGCTTCCACCCAAGCTTACTCTCTATAACTTCACAGCAAGGTCCTCCCTGGACCATCTTACAGCCTTACTGTATAACCCGTGCTACCTTCTACTTCATGGTCCTCCTGCCTCAGCTTCCCAAGTGGTGGGATTCATTCTATGGCTATGGACAAATGGGTATTGACATGCCTCCAACATTATAATTTCAAAATCAGTAACTTCACCGCTGTAAAAATCTGAGCTCCTTCTGCTTCTCCTTCCTTCTCTCCCAAGCCCTGGCAGCTATTGGTTCTTTCACTATGTCCATTATCACACTTTTTCCTGGATATCAAACAGCTGGGATTGTATAACGTGTACCCTTCCCCACGGGCTTCTTAACAAACAGCTGGAATTGTATAACAGGTACCCTTTATCTGCTGGCTTCTTATCAAGTCAAACAGCTGGAATTGTATAGCATGTACCCTTTCCCCATTGGCTTCTTATCAAACAGCTGGAATTGTATAACATGTACCCTTCCCCACTGGTTTCATATCAAACAGCTGGAATTGTATAACGTGTACCGTTTCTCCGCTGGCTTCCTTCACTTAGGAGTATGCACTTAGGTTTCTTCCATCTCTTTTCATGGCCCCATAGCTCTATTTAAGATTTTTACTTGTTTTATGTGCATGGGTGTTTTGACTGCATGTATATCTGTGCACTGCATGTGAACAGTGTCTGCAGAGGCCAGAAGAGGGTGTCCGATCCCTTGACTGGACTTGTTTGTGAGCTACCATGTGGGTGCTGGGAATCAAACACAGGTGCTCTGGAAGAGCAGCCAGTGAGTGCTCTTCACTTCTGAGCCTTTTTCCCAACTCTGTTCTTTTCTTTCTATTCTATCTTTTATGTTCCTTTTTCTATTCTACAATGTGGAGGAAGACACCATAGTTTGTTTACCCCTTTGCCTTCTAAAGGGCGTTCTATTGCTTTCAAGTTTTCCCAATTTTTATCAAAGCTGCTACAAGCATTGAATAAGAGTTTTCTTTTCTTTTCTTTTTCTTTTTTTTTTTTTTTAACTTGGGTATTGTATGTAGTCTAGGCTGGCCCTGAACTCAGGATCTTACTGTCTGGGCTTCTTGAGTGCTGGGATCACAGTCATGTGCCACCACACCTGCCTCTAGAATGGTTTGGATAAAGAAGAAAAGGAGATGTCTGCTCTACACAGAAAGCCCACCCAGCATGGGGATTCCTTTAGCCTGCCTGCTCCTCCATCAGATGTCCTTAAAGCCGTTCCGGAGCTCCTCCTCAAAGACGGACACTTGAGAAGTCTGCTCTACTCTCCTTAGGGCCAGCCTTGAATAAATCGTTAGCCTTCCACTAACTTTTGACTCCCAGGAGTTGGGGAGAGCCTTGTGCAGAACACCCCTCAGATCCCAGCAGTGGAGCTCCCCATTTCTGCCCTGCCTGCAGGGGAGCTCCAGGAATCCGGCACCCTTTAAGGTGTAGATTCTCTGACTTTTCAAAGTGCACACACATGGGGACACACACACTTACAACACATATAGTCACACACAAGCACACTCACACAGTGATTGGGTCTCAGTTAAAGGAAACCCTGTAGCCCCCTAGGGTTCCCTCTGGGACAAGCCTCTCCTCTTTGGTATTCTGTTTCACAAATTCCAGCCCCCCTGGGCCTGTCCTTCTGCCCAGTTTTAGGCCTCACCTCAGGGCCCGACAACCACCTTCCTTCTCCCCTCCAGGCAGTAGCGGCAGGTGTTATGGTACTGACTGAGCTTGTTCCTCCTCTCTCCGAGAAGGACAATGTTTTGTAGCCTCTGGTTATCCAGTTGTTGGGACAGAAAAATAAGTCTAATATGTCATCCCTTGCTTGCCCTTGTTTGTCAGTGGTAAAAGTCTGCCTGTCTTATGTAATGACCTTGAAACAAGATAAGGGCCATGGGGTATCCATTCTCTTCAGTAGGTTGCCAGAGTGGACCATGACACACAAACCAAAGGTTAGAAGTCTTGCACAGCACCCCACTCTTCTGGAGCCTCCCAGCATTCCCAGGGGCAGAAGGAGCAAGCCCTTGTGTCCCCTCGCTCTGGAGTCTGGGCCGATGAGGAACCCTGGCAGGTTGGCCGGTTGTTACCCCATCTCTAGCCTTCTCGCCCTTCTGGGCTGCCCTCAGCCGCTTCTGGTGGGAAGGGCTGCAGATCCTCTGCCGGCTTTGCCCAAACTGCCTGGGGTTTTAATCTCACAGCAGACCTGCTTATTAACCTTTTGTTCCTTTCTCGGGGTCCTTCCTGGAAACACTTCCCATCCCCGCTAGACTCCGCCCTTTCCCCTCTCCATAATTAAAGCTCTCCCTTCCTGAAGTGGAACGTCTGCCCACGCAGGACCTTGGGGCCCCAGCAGAGTATGTGGGCAAATCCTGGTGTGACGTCACCACAGGGGGCTGCCTCTGACTCCGCCTGAAAGCTATGTGTTGGCCCAGTCATTCCCAGCACTCCAAGTCCGCCCAAGCTCCTATGGCTGCTGGGCTGGGACCAATGAGAGGAAACCACCAGCGTTTGCAAGTGGTCTGAGGCCGGGCATTGGGCCACAGTCTCACCATGGCCACTCTGGTCCAAAGTTCAGAATTTCCTTCTCCGGGTCTCTGCGGGGTTTGACGCAGCCGTGCCACAAGCAGACATGGCTGTCCACGCATTTCAGTGGCCTGTGTTCGTGTGTGTGTGCGTGTGAGAGGTAGACATACGTGTGTGTACACCTGTGTGCAGTATATGTGTGCACTTGTTTATGTATGTACACACATGCATGTAAGTGTGCACACAGAGGCCAGTCACTCTGTGTCTTCCTCTATTAATCATCCTATCTCTTTTTAAAAAAGATTTATTTTACTTTTCATAGTGTGTTTATGTGTGTGTGCGCGTGTGGATGTGTGCATATGAGTACAGCCCGAGGAGGCCGGAAGAGGAACTCCTGAAGCTGGAGTTACATAGTGTGTTTATGTGTGTGTGCGCGTGTGGATGTGTGCACATAAGTACAGCCCGAGGAGGCTGGAAGAGGAACTCCTGAAGCCGGAGTTACTGGTGGCTGTGTAATACTAGAAAGGGAGTTCACGTGCTATGCAAGAGTAAGTGCTCTCAGCTGCTGCACTCTCTTCTAGCCTAGTTCTGTGCTCTTTTGTATGCACACGCAATCACACACACATACATAAACACTATACACACAAACACATATACACACACAATCACACACATACACACAGTTGTAGCTCCTAGGTTGTAAGCCTCCTAAGTATACTGGACCGTGTTTGGTTCTGCCCAGCTCCCCCCTCGGTCCCTCCTCATGGATGGACATACAGTAGGTCTCATGTACTTTTGCGTAGGAAAGAGAACAAGGGCGGGAGCAGGAGCTGGCTCACTCACGAGGATCTGGGTCTGATGTATGTGTTTATATGAATGAAATAGCACAGAACCGGAGCTGGAGAGATGGCTCAGTGGTCCAGAGTACTTACCATATGTATGCTATATGCACATACATATGTGGTATACACATATGCACACATACATATGTGCATATACTTATACGCATACATACAACATACACATATACACATATACACATAATTAATGTGCACGTGTATATTCAGACATATGTGCATATACTTATATACATGCAATATGCACATGTACATACATAAAACTTACCTCTGAGCACTGAGAGGCACTGACCTGATCATGGAGTTGAGGGAACGCTTCACAGGTGAAATGACTCAGTTGAGAGGTGCGGAACTGGATGAGTTCCTGTCAGAGGAAGACAAGAAGGACCGACCGTTCCAGGCACCAGACACAGAATGTGCAAAGGGCCTGTGGCCTGAGAGAGCGGCTGTGTGGGGCAAAGTGCATTTTCCAAAGACGGCTGCCTCACTGTGAGCCATGGCTTTTCTTACGGAAGTAACATTCTACTCATCCATCGAAAGGTAAGGGGCACGCTTTCTTCCTTTCAAGGTGAGCAGGTCTGTGACCATAGCAGACATCATGCTAAGCATGAGTCCCCTCAATCTCGTTTTCTTACAGTCCAGCCTCCATGCTGGGCAGCAGCCTCACTGCCACATGGAAATCCTCCAGCTAACGGCAGCCCTGACAAAGAGAGCTGCTTCGGGTGGTTCCAGCCTTTCTGCCACTACAGCAGATGCCAAGAGAACGGGCCAGGTCCAAGCTGCAGATCTGCAAACAGAATAATGCCATCGTCATATTAAGCCATTAAGTGTTGGCAGGATTTGCTCCGCGGCTGCAGATAACTGCACCATGCGACATGAAGGAGGCCGGTGGGAAATGACAGACACTTGGAGGATGACCCCGTGGCTGAAGAAGGAGAGAGGGCCAGGGCTGACCCAGAGCGTGCTGCAAAACCCAGCAGCACCAGAAGAGGTCCTGCCCAGGGCACGCGGCCACCACGGTGCTCAGCGGCCGTCTAGACCACACGGCCTCAGTCTTCAGTCTGGGAGCAATGAGCCTGGAGAGGAACCACAGAAGAGACGCTCACTGTGGGTGCAGAGGCCCCCAGGACACTCCTCAAGTCAGGTTCATTCCCAAGGCAGAGCACTGGCCAGAAAGCCGGGCTTCTGCAATGTTTTTCTTAACAAGGTAAGGACAAATCCTGCCACACACCGGCTTAGCCCTGCAACCACCACACTGGCCCAGAAGAGCCAACAGGGAAGGCAGCTCCAGGTTTGGCCTGCCCTCCTTTCCTCTCTGCTTTCTTTCTACTTTATTATTTTTAATTGACAAATTATTTTGTGTATATAAACCTATGCAACACAATGAGGTGTTTTCAGCAGTGCCGACTCGACCCTACTTGGCATGTTTCTGCTGAGCCCACCCCTAGCAGCCGCCGTATGGTCTTTTCATACACGTATACATTGTGAAATGATCAAATGAATCTAGTCGACACGCCAAGCAATCTGGTATTTGCCATTTCCTCATGATGAGACTCTTTATAATCCTACATTTTGAAATGCATTATACAGAGGCAAGTGAGACAGACGGCTTAGTGGTACACGCTTGCTGCCAAGCCTGAACCTCCGAGCTCAGTCCCTGGGGCTCCCGGTAGAAGGAGAGAACTGATTCCTACGAGTTGTCCTCTGACGTTCATGTGTACACAATAACAAGCACCCACACATCCCCCAGCAAAATAAATAAATGAAATATAAAACTATAAAGAACCATGCGACACACCGCCTTGAATTCCAGCCACCTGGCAGCATGGCACTGCCCAGAAGCTCGGCGCCAAGACGGCCACGCCCCCTGAGCCCGGTCCCCACCCACTCTGAGCTCCTCCCCCATTCTTCTCCCAGGACTGTCAGCTTCAGCTTCCATATATAGCTGAGATGGTTCAGCGTTTATCTTTCTAGCCTTTCGCTTCTCACCGTGTTCTCTTGCGCGTGGTGCTGGCGACAGCGCCTGAGGCCTTAGGCATGCAAGATGTGGTCTCTGCTGTTGAGACCCCCCCCCCCCAGCTCCCACGTAATGAAATTCTCTAGCTGTATCCGGCTTTTTCCAAGTAACAGAATCTTTTCGTTTTTCTTCTCAAGGCTGAATAGTGTTCTATTACGTACCTAAGCCACTTTTCGGGAATATCACTTTTCGTAGAAGAATCAGTCTGATTGATTCTGCATCTTGGCTGTTGTGAATCATGCTTGCCGTTGCTACATTCCCGTGCCCAGACACCCGACTAACATCACTTAAGGAGAGAGTGGTGTTTAGCTAGGCTTTGAGGGTGTGGCCCAGTGTGTTGGTGGGAGGTGGGGGTGGGTAATGGTGGCAGGACAGCCGGCAGCTGGTCCCATTTGCCTTCGGGAAGCAGGGAGCTGGTGTTCTGGGCACGTGTCCTTTGGACCCTGGCCCATGAGACTGTGGTGCCTACATTCAGGTTGGGCCTTTCTACCTCAGTCCATTTCTTTCTGGAAACGCCCTCACTGACACGCTCAGAGGTGTGTTTCCGTGGTGATTTCAGGTCCAGTCAAGTTGACGATGAAGAGGAATCATCCCAGTGTTCTCTATCACGACTGTTTATCGCCAACAGAGCCGGAGATCCCTCTTTAGCACACTGGCTCCAGTCGCCTTCTTCTAGGCTCAAAACTAGGGTTGGCGGATCCCACAACGATCCCGCATTAAATTTTCTGAGGGACTTTCATACTATTTTCCAAAATGGCAGTGCCTTTACCTTTCCAAGGTCTTAATGTGGTGGCTTGCTTTTGACCCAAATGTTCAGGACATTTTGGGTGTAAATTTGTAATCGTTTTATCTTCTCCCCCACCCCATCCTGACCTCATCCTCTGTTTGTGGTCTCTAAGAGAACAGATGTTGCTAGACACCAGGAACACGCCCAGTCCCTGGTCTCTGGCTGGTGCCCTCCTATACTGTGAAGTTATCCAGGCTAGAGAGTGATGGTACAGACTCTGCAGACAGTATACTCTCATAGTCTCCTTTATCTCCAAATAATCCAGCTCGGTTCACCTGCCTGAGCTTTCCAGGAACGCTGGGCTGCTCCTCACCCTCAGAAGCCTGGGATCCTACTGCCCCAACGAGAGTCATGAGAGAATTCTGTGAGTACATGAAAATACCATTCTGTTTATTTCTATTTATCGTTTTAAGAAAGTACTTACTGTACAACCTGGGCCAGCCTTCCACATGCGTCTGTAGGCTCCCGGCCTCCCTGTTTTCTCCCGTGTCTGCACAGTTCCATGAAGCTGCAAAACAATCCCACACCACTTAAGAATTAGGGGTAATAAAATTAGGTTATTTATTTGAGGGTAAAAATGTACAGATCACCGTCCCAAACAACAGTCCTCTCGTCGCAAACAGGAAACAAAGAGTCTAGGCACTGGAAAGGGAGCCAAAAGCAAGAGAAAGATAGCCATGTTCCCCTTGCTTTTTAAAGTATAAGAGACCACGCCCCAGTGGGCTGGTATCTTAAAGGCTATTGGCTGAAGGAGTGGAAGGAGCTCCTGCAGCAGTTCCACATTCTTGACTTGTTACCTAGTATTCCAGCTGTGTTCACCCCAGAGCCAAGCCAGAGAAGTGGGGCTGGCAGCACGGGACTCTGCCTGGCTCTTGGCCCTTTTGAGATTCCTTTTGCTTCCTCCTTTGCTTCTGTCTTCCCTCTGCCCTGTACCATCCACTGCCCGTCTTACCCTGAATTGTGTAGCTTGTGACTCGGAAGGGCTGGCAGAGGAGCTGGACGTTGGGTAGCCTCTAAACTCTGACCAGGAGGTTCCTTGAGCTCATGATTCCCTTATTCCTTCCCGCACTTCTGCAGAGGACCCAGAAAATCAGGCAGCACAGACCATCTGTGCGCGCATGCCCACTTACACTCCCAAACAACTCCCGTTAGACCCAGGCTGCATCCCAGGAGAGCCTGAGGCACAGGATGATAGGAACCTCTGACATCTCCTACAAGCTCCATTTCTAGGTGATTTTTATCTTAGCCATAGCTGTGAATTATCCACCAACCCCGCCATGCTGGGCATCTATGTGCATGAATAGAGCTGACGCTTTGTGTGTACTGAAACCTCAACTGAGAACCTAGTAGACACGGTTAAAAGTAGTCCTTAAAGGCTGTTAGGACAGATGCTGCCCATCAGCAAGCTCCACCCTTGATGATTGATTGACAAGGGTGCTGAGTCAGGGATCATGGCCCTTCCAGAAGTTCTAAGACTCTTAAGAATGATGCCAGTAGTGATGACTGGCTGGCGTCAGCCTGGGACCCTGTTGTCATACTTCTCGTGAGTGACCATCCTAACCTTCTGGTAACTGATCTAGTAATTTAGTAACGTGCCATAGAGTGGCTTACTGGAGACAGACATCTGGCCATAGCATTTCTGGCAGAAGTGGTAAAGAACTCAGACAGGCGTTTGCCCGCATGTGGCTCTGCAGTCAGAAAGTGCAGTTGCTGGGGTGGATTCCTGAGTGTGCCCTGAGTGTGGAGAAGTGCTGTTGGTGAGCCGAGGCTGTCTGCGGCTCATTCACGCCCTCCCTGCCAATCAACAGGCTTTGGGGGATACCACAGCTGGGAAATGTTGGGCCGAGGAGCTTGAGGTCAGGAATGAATAAGCTTTGATTTTCAGATGTGGCTCTGTCGCTCTGGAGACAGAATAAGAGGAGACTACACAATCACAATTTGGTCTGAATCCCCCTTGGGAAAAAAAAAAAGAACAGAATAAGAAATAAAGAAAAGATAGGACCTACTATCCGGTTCTTCAAATTTTGTTCACAGAGCCTGGCTGAGGATCACCTGGGTCAGCCCGAATTTGCTGGTTAATTTTTCCTGAAGCGTACCCTCTCCAAAAAAGGAAAGCTGAAGTAGGCTCTCATACAGTAACCTAAGCCAGTTTAGAACTAACTAATCAAGGGTGGTCTCAAACTTTGTGGCAATCCTCCTGCCTCTGCCTCCTAAGGGCTGGATTACAGGTGTGAGCTACCATATCAGGCTTTTGTTTTGTTTGTTTGATTGTTTTTAAACATATTATTTAGCCCAGGCAAACCTGAAACTCAGAATCCTCTTGCTTTGGCTTCCTGAGCACTTAGATGATGTGTAGAATAACCATGCTGGTGTGTGTGTGTGTTGCTTTTTTAGTCCACTTTTTTAGTACGGTTTTGTTTTATCATAATGGAATTCTATAGGGGGAAGATGACAGGGAGGGGGGAACCTCCCAGTTTTGTCTCTTTTCATTTGCGAAGCCTGTGGACAAATCCTCTCTAGCTTCCATATTCCTTTCCCCGAATGACAGCCACAGGCAGCATCACTTGGTACTGTCACTGAAGAGTGCTGGGAGCTGAGCAAGATGCCAGAGCCCACTGCCCCAGCCCTAGTAAGTGTCTCCACCATTGAAAGGGGGTTAACGTCCCTGCCCACCTCACCTTAAGGATGAGAAAACAATGTGAAATCGTATTTGGAAACTAAAAGCATCCATCTTTGTCACAGCAGTCATTTTCAGATGAAGGATGGCGGATTCAAAACTCCCAGCTAGTTTTTCTCCTGACGAACTGTGTGGGCGTCATGTTGCTGTTGTTTTGGTTTTCATTCCCAGAGAGGCAGGTGCTTCTGTACACAATGGGCCATTGAGCCCTAAGTGTAAATAAGACCACTCAGATATGGCGAAGCAGCAGACGGTGGTCAGGAAACTGCTTGGCACATCTGAGCTCTGTATGATTCACATCTTCAGCAGCTAGGGAGGAGTAAGGGAGGCAGCCCAATAGGCTCGCCAAAGCGTATTATGTCCACCCACAGCCAGGAAGCTGGGCCGGCTACAGTATTTTCAGCCACCAGAGTCCACTATCTCTGACTGCTTGCCTGAGGTGCTTTTATTTTTCCTGTGTTGGGGGAGAAAAACATCAGGCTGTAGAACAAGCTGATTTGATGCATTTCATAACAAATCTTCCCTAATATTTTAATCCCTCAGGCCCCAGACAAGGGCACTCAGAGACGTGAGGACTTGGTGGATATGGAAGAGGCCTTCATTCTCCTCCTTTGGTGATCCATCTGAGGTTTGGTCTGCAAGAGGAGGCTGCCTCCTTCCGAAGATGTGTTCCTTGATGTTTCCAACAGATAAATGGTGCCCTGCATTCAGTGGGCCTGTCTGCAGCCACTCATATCTAGATACCTGGAGTATCTTCAGTGCTGTGTCGCTGGTATAATCCTGCCAGTGCCTGTTCTCCAGGCCTAGGGCAGGTAGTCACGGATGCCAGACTTCTGCAGTACCCCTTCCCAGGCCCCTAGAAAGAGCAGAAAGGAAGAGCAGAAAGAGAACCGGAAGAGGGAAGAAGGAGAATGAAGCGGTGGTCGGGACTGACAGGGACCTCACATTCCTCCTGCTTGACTGCCATTCATTCATTCCATTCAATTGTTCAGCAACATTTCCCAGCAAGCTCCGGAGAGCCAGGAGATGCCGGCGTAAGGGGAGAAACCCGCATCCTCCTCTCTCTGTCGTGTACCTGGGTTCAGTCTTTGTATTCACAAGGTTCCCCCTAGCTTTGTTGGGCAGAACAAAGGATTAAGACTACAGTGGGCTAAGGCAGTGGGGGTAGAAATCCAGTCCCACCCGGCTCCTTCTTAAAGGGTCCCACTCCCGTGTGCAGGAGGAGGTGGGGGCAGGCTGAGCCAGCCCCTAACCACAGGCTTGGAAAGGAAAACCCTGGTGTCATTTGACCCGGCTCTCTGGGATTGTTATACCCGGAAGTAGAAGTCAGGAGGCACCTTTCAGGGCATTAACCCTTTCGCTCACAAATACGATGTGTGTGACCTTCAAGTCACTAAGAGGTCAAACTCTTTGTCATTGCCTGGGCTGGAAACGACCAGTGGCTAACAGGCCTGTTTCCCTGCACCCACCCTCTGAACAGTGCGAGCTAGAACCATCTGTCCTGTGGAAGAGGAAGAAGAGTGTGAGCAACACAGCGAGTTGGTGGTAGAGCTGGGTCTGTCTCATTCATTCATTCATTCATTCATTCATTCGTTTAGTTGGTTTTTCAAGACAGGGTTTCACTGTGTGGCCCTGGCTGTCCTAGAACTTCTCTGGAAACCAGGTGACTCTGAACTCACAAAGATTCACCTGCTTTTGTCTCCTGAGTGCTAGGATTAAAGGCGTGTGTCACCACCACCTGGCCCGTCTTCTTTCTCTGTGTTTTTGGTCCTAATTTGGCTCATGAACTCATACAGGCTCACTTCTATTTAAAACAACAACAACAACAACAACATAAAGCTTCCACAGAGTGCTGGGAAGAGGGCCCAGACAGTCACTGCTTGTTTTGCAGGCACAAGAACCTGGTTTGGTCACTATGTAGGAAAAAAAGGTGTGTTTGGGGGGGGGGCAGGGGGCTTGGGGGATGGCGCAGTGGGTAACAGTGCTACTTGCTACCAAAGATTTGAGTTTGAATTCTCAGAACCCATGACAAAAAAATAAGTGACGTGTTTTGTTTTGTTTTGTTTTGAAATGCTAGGAGCAGCTGTGTTTGCCTCTCACCCTCCTCTACCGCTCTCCGTCGTATTCTCTGGGGTCTCCATATTTCTGAAGGGGCATTCTCTCCCTGCCTCTGCCTCTGCTCGGCTCTCAGGCGACCATGCACAGGACCTTGTGCTGTGCTGTATGTAAGCCTATGTCTGCTTCTCCGTCTACATTCCTCATAAGGCTGTGTCTTCTCACACCTAGTTAGGCACCTGACTTAGACTCACCAAGTATCTCTGTGTAAACTGGCGGATGAGCGGCTAGATGGTGCATATAGAGACTCGGCAAACACCAGTGAGTGGATTGGTGGATGGGCAAACAGAAGGAGAGATGGATGAATGGCCATAGACTGAATTCACTGTGTGGGAACCAAAACAACAAAAATGAGACTGGGACTAAAACATGTAGACTTTGTAGAAAAGGAGAATTACTTAGCGCATTGTGGGCTCCTGTTAGAACGCGAATGAAGACCGATGGCAAACACAGCTTACGGTATAAATATTCATGAGACCTCCGATGTCCCTAAGGG